TCTCGTGGCACCGGTTCGGGTCCGGGAATGGCCGGCGGTTACCGCTCAGCCTCCGTGGAGGAATGTAAGATACCCCCCCCCCCCCCCCCCCCAGCAGTCGACGCTAGCAACGAGCCTTCGATTATCAGCTGTGTTATGAATGGGGCTGGTACTCGGTCCTAAAGGTGTGCCAGCCCTTCCCGCTCCCACCGTCTCAAATTCTGATAGCAAGTCAATTCTGATAGCAAGCCTGTTCGTAGGCGATCCTCGCTGCATCGCTGAAAACGCGCGACTCTGGATAACACCGACTGGAATAAACATACTCCTGAATCAACTCCAACTTTGCTCAAGTCCAGCTTTAGGTCGAGAGGTCAAGTCAAGTCAAGAAATAAGCCCGACTTAAAAACCGGGTCGAAAAAGTCAGACTAAAAATGCATGGCTCAAACAAACCTGACTGGAATAAACACGACTCTAAATAAGCCCGACTGTTACATACCCTTCCCAGCGTAAAACGTACTGCGGCGCTCGCGGCTATACGGAGGTCACCGCTCGGCGAGCGTTACAGGGCGGGCTGGCGTTCAAAAGGGGCGTGGTCCTGAGAGCTTCACCATCCCTAAGCCGTGACAGAAGAGATGTTATGTATGGAGCCAACAGCCTAATATATTTGTATATATATATATATATATAATGCATCGAAAATGATGTTGTTTTATCGAACATAGAAGGCAATCTGATACAAAAAATAACAATCCTATGCAGAGTGGCACGTCTTGAGTCGGGACACGCGCACACACCGCTCTGGTGTCAGCACTCCTGCCATACAGAATGAAGAGGAGTGCGCGCATTATTTGTTTATCGTGGAGAGGTTACGAAAAATATGTCATGCGCACTGCATGAAAGTACCTGCACCTAAAGGTGAAACTGAAAAGGAGTGTTCCACATTTCTATGGGGAATTGAACTGAAATAGCCATCTTGAAGATCATTTGACGCAGTTCACAGCCCTGACCTTTTCAAGACCTAATCCCGCCAGTTTCTAAACTACACACCCGCGTAGACGTGGAGACTATTTGGGGAAGAATATTTTAAGGTCACCTTGGCATTTGTGACGTCATAACAACGTCATTCAAATCCTGTCATTTTATAAGCTATGCGGCGATCAAGGCCAAGCAAGATATAATGCCCGAGTCGTTCATATCTGGCGTTCGTGAGCACGATTTCCAGCCCTCACGGCCATCCATTGCCTCTCAATCAATATTGTGCAAGGTGCAATGACCTTAGGAAGCAATGACGTATTGAGAACCATGTTCACTAAACAAAGATGTTGTGTTGTCTAGAGCATTCTGTTCTACTTCAAAGTATACCAACGGTTACAGGTGAGGTTATTTCATCATAGCTGATGATTGCTTCAATATCATTCAATGTGAAGCATTTCCTTGAACTTCGACGACCTCAACAGGCATGTCGCCAACTAGAAAAAAATCAATAATAAAAAATAGGTGTAGGCTGGTTACCGAACGGGTCAACCGAATGGCCGCCATGATGCATGGCAAGGCCAGCGCTTTGACATGAGGCTCATGTAAATACTGACAAAAAACCCATGCTCTCGGATGTTTCGGCGTTATGAGTTGGGAGCTTCCTGAAAATAAACAACCTACGGTTTGCGAGGACGTACTGGTTATCGAGTACAAGTGCATACTGGTACGTCAGTTATCAAGTGAGCAATGGTTATATTTTTTAAAAAATCAGCGTTTGGGAGCTGTGTTCATGGCGAGGCTCCTTCGCAGAACTTAATTAACACCACGCCCATATTGTTCAGTCTGATTCACACCACATAGAACGAGTCGATTGCATTTCTCGACGTCCTTTTGTGGTGTAACCAGGTGGAAAGTAAATCGACAAACAGAACTTTAAGCCCATGAACGCCATCCTATTGCGATATCATTCGGCACGCCGAATGACTTCCGAAAAGCAGCCCCTATGTCGAAAATGCGGACAGCAGTGCGCACATCCTCTGATCCCAGTCGTCTGAGTGTAGTCGTGTTAAATCTCCCTTCCAGTTAGACACATATGTAATAAGATCGAGGTCATGCGGTGCTGTTTTGCGATACACAAGAAATCGCGCGCGCCTGCGGCGCCCTTAACTCAATATTCAGTTTTAAACTGTGCCCTTCCGATTGTAAAATCTTGCATGTGCCCTTTTCAACAACACATCAGGTTTGCGATCAAGTTCTAGAAAGGTGGAACGAACAAATCGTATGTATGCTAAACTTTCGTTTACAGATGGCGAGTTTTGCAAACAGGCGAATGCCACCGTACCATCGAGTGGTTTTCACGGCCTTGGAGCAGCACGGACTGGTGGTGCTGGTCTTAAGACCTTGCCAGTTTGATCAGCCCTAGAGACCCCAGCTTGTCCAGTCGTGAATAGGATTCGCAATACACACGTCAATCGCCTGAAAGGCAAATGTTCTCGGAAGAACGTAGAATACATGTTCTCTTGTTACCTCTGGTCAGATATATTTTTGAAGATAAAATGAACCGTGCATCTACGTACGGTGCATCAAAGCCACGCGGATTTTAGAACATTAGAATTGCTGCAAACCCACTGTCTTCTCCTGAGGCTGGGCATGGGACTTCTTCTTGGGACTTCCGACGTTCCTACGCATAGCTTTTGAGCAAGTGTTTTTTCGCAGCGTCGTTTAGTTATATGCGTTTAGAAAGAGTGCTGTGGTCGTTGGGGAAAATACGCAGACACTCCCCGCAAGTGTGTCTACACTGCGCTCTGTACGCATCATCGGAGCTTGGGGCTCACTGTCTGTTGCTCCTCCCCTTGCTCAAAATCAGCCAATCAGCATCAAACCGGGCGGCTCCAACCAAGTATTTAAGCGCCTCAGGCTTGACAAACGGGCTGGGCAGGTCAGATGTCTGGGCTCGGGGTCCAAGGGCAACGGATTTGTGCCAACCAATTGCGTACGAGAGCCACCGGAGAGCCAGGATTCTTGCAGCATGAATTCATATTTACATCCTGCATACCCTATTGAATGAATTTTGGAACGCTGTTCGGTGAGTCCTTAGCCCAGTGCTGCGTGCCGGGCGACAGGACGCAAGAGACACAATGACTTGGATGCTCATGATCTTCGTGCAATGTTTTTTTAAGTGTGACGGCCGTTGTAAGTATTGCCCAGCCTTATAGATCGAATGTATCTAACAATCAGCCACCTTGCATTTAAAGCCTGCTGCATATCGCAATAATTTGTCTCTGTCGTTGTCTGGATCCAGGTCTTATTTCGTGAGAAACCTATTAATATTTGCTAACTGACCAAACGAATAAAGCAGTCGGAATGACGAAACATAGGGTGCCTACAGGATACTATGTGGTAGAGATTGAACACAAAACTTCTAGTGATGCCCCCATGCACCTAGTGTATCAGCATTTCGCAGCAAGCTACTATATTTTCTTGATCCGGTATTCCTTTTTTACCCATACACCTGGAGAGGTCTCACGAACATTGGGGAGGGTGGGGGGAGTCTCAAGTCAGCATTGTTAGCTTGCTCCCCCGGATGTGTATAAACTGATGCCCCTGGTCGCATGAAATCGTTACACATCGTGGCAAGTCATGTCGGCTGAAAGTATAGTGGAATCTTAACCACATCGTAGCAAGTCATGTCGGCTGAAAGTATAGTGGAATCTTAACCACATCGTAGCAAGTCATGTCGGCTGAAAGTATAGTGGAATCTTAACCACATCGTGGCAAGTCATGTCGGCTGAAAGTATAGTGGAATCTTAACCACATCGTGGCAAGTCATGTCGGCTGAAAGTATAGTGGAATCTTAACCACATCGTAGCAAGTCATGTCGGCTGAAAGTATAGTGGAATCTTAACCACATCGTGGCAAGTCATGTCGGCTGAAAGTATAGTGGAATCTTAACCACATCGTGGCAAGTCATGGCTGAAAGTATAAAGGAATCTTAACCACATCGTGGCAAGTCATGTCGGCTGAAAGTATAGTGGAATCTTAACCACATCGTAGCAAGTCATGTCGGCTGAAAGTATAGTGGAATCTTAACCACATCGTAGCAAGTCATGTCGGCTGAAAGTATAGTGGAATCTTAACCACATCGTAGCAAGTCATGTCGGCTGAAGGCATAGTGGAATCTTAACCACATCGTGGCAAGTCATGTCGGCTGAAAGTATAGTGGAATCTTAACCACATCGTGGCAAGTCATGTCGGCTGAAAGTATAGTGGAATCTTAACCACATCGTAGCAAGTCATGTCGGCTGAAGGCATAGTGGAATCTTAACCACATCGTGGCAAGTCATGTCGGCTGAAGGCATAGTGGAATCTTAACCACATCGTGGCAAGTCATGTCGGCTGAAAGTACAGTGGAATCTTAACCACATCGTAGCAAGTCATGTCGGCTGAAAGTATAGTGGAATCTTAACCACATCGTAGCAAGTCATGTCGGCTGAAAGTATAGTGGAATCTTAACCACATCGTGGCAAGTCATGTCGGCTGAAGGCATAGTGGAATCTTAACCACATCGTGGCAAGTCATGTCGGCTGAAGGCATAGTGGAATCTTTCTCTTCCGATTTACGTCGCTTTGCTTTTACATCTATCTTTCGAGTTGCTCGCCTCATACATACAGAATTGTTTGATATTACATAATGTCACAGCGCAGCTCACTTTGTGCATAGCTAACTTATTTCATTTTCGAAAATGCGCATTTGATGTGTTGGTATTTCACGTTCCGAATAAAATACATTGGCCAGGCTACTTCATTGCGTATCGTTACAACATAGCTATATTTCCCATGCATGTGTTATGAGGTTTTATTTGTTCGTAATCTACCCCTTGTTTACTTTGCTCATTCTACAACGCTCAATGCCTGGGTAATATTACTGTCAGATGTCAAACCAAGGATGAATGATCAAAATCGGCTGGGCAAAGCTTGGTCAGCAGAAAATCAATCACGCTGGCGGAGTTTACCGACACGAGCTCGTCTGAAACGACACAACTCACGTATATTGTTAGAAAGGCATTTATTACGTGAACTTTCAGTTCCATGGACATGCAGCTTTAAAGCTTTTGATTTCTACCAAAGCAAACCATAGAAGCTTATTCAGACATGTTCCCGCACTTCAACAACGTGACGTAAAAAATATATGTATCTTTATGCATGGCTGTCTCATAACGTATCCATCAAGACCACTTAAGCAATCAAGACACCAGCAGGATACGACTCCGGGTGCAAATTCACAGAACTGCCAGACCTACGACAGCGATATCACGGTCACCTCCTGCTTTTGGTTCACGTCATCGGCAATGGAGGGTGCGGAATATGTAGATCGTGTTACGGGGCTCGAAGCCATTGAGAACGCTCAAGTGCATCGTGAGCGATGCCGAAAGCAAAGTTACCATCCTCAAACTCCCGTGTTTGTAGCGGTGCATTGCAATTTTACATCACGCCAAAACGGAATGTAAACATAAAGGCGGACTGGCCGCACCGCATGCACGAACTGAGATGCGCTGGAAGATGCCGAATAGAAGACGGGCGCGGTCCTGTCGCAAGCGTGTGTTCCGCTGCCGAGCGGGTGACGAGTCTACTCGGCGTCCACCTGCTCCTCATCATCTTCGAACTCTCCCTCATCTTCCGCAGTGGCCTCCTGGTACTGCTGGTACTCGGACACCAGGTCGTTCATGTTGCTCTCCGCCTCCGTGAACTCCATCTCATCCATGCCCTCGCCCGTGTACCAGTGGAGGAAAGCCTTGCGCCGGAACATGGCAGTGAACTGCTCCGAGACGCGCTTGAAGATATCCTGGATGGCTGTGCTGTTGCCGATGAACGTCGCAGACATCTTGAGGCCACGGGGCGGAATGTCACACACAGCCGTCTTAACGTTATTGGGAATCCATTCGACGAAGTAGCTGCTGTTCTTGTTCTGCACGTTCAACATCTGCTCGTCCACCTCCTTCATGGACATTCTGCCTCTGAAGACGGCAGCCACGGTGAGGTAGCGCCCGTGGCGCGGGTCGCAGGCGGCCATCATGTTCTTGGCGTCGAACATCTGCTGAGTCAGCTCCGGCACGGAGAGAGCCTGGTACTGCTGAGCGCCGCGCGCCGTCAGGGGGGCGAAGCCAGGCATAAAGAAATGAAGACGGGGGAAGGGCACCATGTTAACGGCCAGCTTCCTGAGGTCAGCGTTCAGCTGGCCAGGGAACCGCAGGCACGTGGTCACGCCAGACATGGTGAGGGAGACGAGATGGTTGAGATCGCCGTAGGTGGGGTTGCCCAGCTTCAGGGTCCGGAAGCAAATGTCGTACAGAGCCTCGTTGTCGATGCAGAAGGTTTCGTCAGTATTTTCCACGAGTTGATGGACGGAGAGGGTGGCATTGTAAGGCTCGACGACGGTGTCAGAGACCTGGAAAAAATAAATCATGTTAAAATGACAACACAGACTTCATTCACGGTATTCATTGGAAGACTGAAACGAATTGACAAAACAAAATATTTAGCTTGCACAAATACAAGCTGTGCTCTTTGCCATTTTCCATAGCTTTTGTTCAGAATGAAAGGTGCAATATCAGCATGTCATTGCCAACATCTAGATTATACGACACTCAAAACAGTTCGCCGTTGCCGCGGCTGCCAGCCAAATACCCAATGCAGCACACATACAGTAAGAGCCGGAATGCCACCCCAGTGATGCCGCCATAACTCCACCACAGATAACGCAGGCACCGTGCTCAGGCATGCGATGCAATCCCGGCTTATGTCATCGGACCGGTTATATGATCTACCCCCGCGGCCATAACGATGTCACTGTCGGCTCACAGTCCTCACCTTGGGGGAGGGCATCACAGAGTATGTGTTCATGATCCGGTCCGGGTACTCCTCCCGGATCTTGGAAATGAGGAGGGTGCCCATGCCGGAGCCGGTGCCGCCGCCCAGCGAGTGTGTCAGCTGGAAGCCCTGCAGGCAGTCACAGCCCTCCGCCTCCTTGCGGACGACGTCCAGGACGCTGTCGACCAACTCGGCACCCTCCGTGTAGTGGCCCTTGGCCCAGTTGTTGCCAGCCCCGGACTGGCCGAACACGAAGTTGTCCGGCTTGAAGAGCTTGCCGAAGGGGCCAGACCTCACGGAATCCATGGTTCCCGGCTCCAGGTCCACCAGGATACACCGGGGCACATAGCTGCCAGCTGGAACAAGGAGGTCCTGACGTCACGCTCGGCCATGGCACTTCCTCCCGTTTCTCTACCGCAGCAACGTCGT